CATAATACTTATTACCATCATCATTAATTAATGTACCTACTTCATTCTTGCATTGCCATATTATTTTTTTTTAAATTATCATTAACAATATAAATAATAATTAATATCAAAATTATTATTATTATCATTAATATTATTATTATGATTATTATAATATTACTGAAGTTTCACTAATATTACCGGTGGGCGTTAATAAATTATGGTAGTTATAAATTATTTCAGGTACTTTTACGTTTGCGTAATATTTGTTAATTGATATTCTTGTGTTGTGCGTGTTCAACAAACTTGACGTTGATTATCATTTCATTGCAGCGTGGATTCACACCACTACATTGGTGTCTACGGAATGAGAAGCTGACGCACGAGCAACACAAGGAACTCGCAATTATCAATATCACCTTTGGCGCATCGGTGACAATAAAAGATTATGTAATGTACAGATAAATGAAATGCATCAAAAGAATATCAGTCAATGACCTTAATACAACAACTTTATATGAAACTACTAGAAACATTTTTACTGATTAAAACCAACATAATAAATATAAATTCAAACAAAATTAAATCGAAGACAAAAAAAATCATACGGGTAATTATGTTGATTTTTAAAAAATTTTAGAAGTATGAGTTTAATAATGTTTATTATATATTAATTGGATGGTAATTTACAACATAATTATAATGTCGTGATGATAACATTGTCGAGTGTTCGTTAGATATATTATTTTTATTAGTATATTTGAGTATTAACTAAACTATATCACTGCTTTCTGTTTATTTGGTTTTTAATTGTCTTGCAATGGAATGAATCATCGCGTGCTCGTGTCTGTTATTGCAGAATGGAAAGACGCCTCTTGATTTGTATGATATAAACGAATGTAAAGGATACGAAGAAACCACGAGAAGTGAAAAGAAACAAGATTTAAAAGAATTACTTGAAAGTACGTTGATTGACATATTAAATATCTGTGGAATCAAATCTTCAAACTCTATTTAAAACAGTACTTATCATACACCCGTATTACGTTTGACATTAATTTTTTTAATTTGAAATTCTACACAATTAATTTATTATTTCCACATTTTGATTATCGTAAAAAGGTTTATTTCCTCGTAAATAATCAAAAATATAAT